AGGAAAGGGCACGTGCATTTACAGACAATGGAGGGTAAGGAACAGGTTTCTATGACAGTCTAGGGATAAAAAAAAAAAACGAAGACGCTGGGGGCGGGGGGAAGGGAGGGAGAACAGGGACAAACTGATAATGGCATTGACCAAATTTCCACAAAGGTGGGGCGCCTGGGTGGCTCAGTGGGTTAAGCCTCTGCCTTTGACTCAGGTCATGATCCCAGGGTCCTGGGATCGAGCCCCACATCGGGCTCTCTGCTCGGAAGGGAGCCTGCTTCCCACCTCTCTCTCTGCCTGCCTCTCTGCCTACTTGTGATCTCTGTCTGTCAAATAAATAAATAAAATCTTTAAAAAAAAAAAAATTTCCACAAAGGTGAGGCAAGCTGAATACACGAATTAAGGTACCTAGTTGGTCTTCGTCCTTAAGTCAGGTCTCATTCATCTCCTATAAGCTTAGACACCACATTTCAAAAGTACCCATTTAAATGGTAAGTGACGTTTTTTTAAAAATCAGATCATTCTACAAACCATGATTCTTTAAGACAGTGATCAGGTAACCTTGTCAAAAACATCACACTAAATACTTTGAATACATACCAATTAAGTATAAACTTTATTTTTACTTTCTTATAAAGAGCAAATGAAATACATCTTACTTGATTTTCAAATACTACCAAGGAATGTTCCTAGGCTTACTGGTTATTCTTTCATAGTAAACTATAATAATATAGATTTTCTAAGTATCTCAAACCAAATTATTAAGTAGAGCTATATGAAATTGCTGACAGTCAACTTTATTTTACCTACAAAATGGCAATTTCATATGGCTCAAGCTAAAGTAAAAATAGTAAGAAAAAGAGTGGGTGAAGGGAAATCTAGCACCAGAGGAAATGAAAACCTAACACTAACCCCACAGAAATACCTCAATTAATATACTATGAAATTACAGCACTTGCCTAAAATTTAGTACCTGGAAGATATGTCCATCAGAACTCACAGATGTCTCAGACAAGTAGTAATTTCACAATAATTAACACCTTGGAAGCTAGCCTGATTCTTTCCTGATTTATTACAAATAAAAATGTTTTCCAGTTCTTTTTAAAAACACTAAATTATCTTAAACACAAAGCTACATCGGGACCCTAAAAAATAAGAGTTAATCTCTAGCTATGGAGAGACAGTAGTGGGCTGTTAGTGGGTGTACTGCTAAATGTTTGAGAAAACCAGCTCTTCAGGGAAAAGGCATGCGTATGCTCACGAGCACTTCTGTGTGTAGTAATTTTTATTGATATAAAGGACAGGCAGCACATATACAAGTAATAATATATATATACTCTATTGTAAATTACATATAGTCAGTTGATTCTTTGTTAGTTTTTATCAAACTCTTTCAGCAATAGCCAACTTACAGTTGCAACTGGCAACCAAACACAGTTGCAACTCAATATCCTTGTTGAACATCCATTATCATATATGTTAACAAGTAGGACAAAAGTGAAACAATGAAGACATATGTCAGACTTCACTCATTCCTCAATGATGTGGGTGACTCCTTTGCTACACCTGCATAATAGTTTTTGAATACTGGGCCAAACACTTACAGGATGCTTTGTGTTCTTTGCATTTTAAAAGCTGTTTTGGACTGAATGTTTGTATCCTCCCAATATTCCTATGTTGAAACCCTAACTCTCCCATCCAGTGTGATAGCAGGTGGTGGGGCTTTTGGGAGGAACTTAGGTCATGAGGACAGAGCCTTCATGAATGCAGTTAATGCCCTTATGAAAGGAGAGAAGAGAAAGAGGATAGATTTCCCTCTGCCATGTAAAGATACAATGAAAAGACATCCATCTACAAGCCAGGAAGAGGGTCCTCATCAAGAAGCAAATCTGTGGCACCCTGATCTTGGACTTCCCTTGTGACTCCAGAACTATGAGAAATAAATGCCTGTTGTTTAAGCCACCCAGTCTATGGTAATTTGTTAAGAGCTCAAGCTGACTAGGCAATGGCCATAGACACTACACACTTAAATTTAATCCACACTATTAACATTTTCTCCATCACTTTGTAAAGCCTACAGACAAGTGACAAAACAATAAATCAGGTCCTGATTTGAATTTGCTGATTTCTATAGTATAAGTGCTACCACCATCAAGTTACCAAAATGAAGTCACTGATCACAGAGTTGGGAAGGAGGTGACTAATTGAACACCATTTTGTTGTATTTCCACCATACAAACACAATAGATGTTAACAACACAAAGAGTGTAAACTCCAGTACAGTGCAATAAAATAAATAGGAAATGATGAATTTTGAGAAATTACCTTTGTTTTTAATATCATTATTTAATGGTATGTGTACATAATTTAACTTTTAATGGTAGCTGTGTTTAAACAACTGGTTTACAAAATTCCTGATTGGCTGTTGTGAGTAGACAGAACTAGTTCCAGCATACCACTCGGAAATGAAAAAAATTCCAATTCTAAAGTATCTCCATAAATTTCAGCTATTAATTGCACTGTAGCTATCATAACTAAAGCAAACAACATCTATTTTCTCACCTACAATAGAAGACTGAAGTAACTAAGCTTATCTAGTTTTTATATGGGGTTACAGTATTAGAATCTAGCTCCAACATCAATAGATGTAAGAGTCTCATTTATTAAAACAGTAGCCACAGCTACATAGTTGTTTTAGAAATTTATTCTAACGACATTTCATAGTTGTTAAAGATAATCAAATTAAACCCTAACTTATAAAAATAACTGTATAAACTTTCAAGTTAAGAAAAAGCACTTTTAGAAAACCCAAAATTTGCCATCTGATAATTTATAATAATGCACCTTAGAGGTACATGAAAGTCATTACTATAGAATCTCTCAATGTCAAATCTTGCCTCTGGATATTTAAAAGGAGTTAGGTAACACAAAGGCCAATAATAACATGTTTAAAAAGGCTAATCATGTTCCACGCGTCAGGGTGTAAGCTGATCAGCTGAAGAGCTGGGAAGGAAGAACTGATTGTGCTCCCTATTTGCTTTCCGCCTAGCATATATAACATTTCACAAGTGAAAGGTGAATGACAAAGGCAATTTCAACTTCGCTCTGAAGTACAAAGATCTGATAGGATAAAAGATTGGATGATGGATGATATCAACATATCATTTGTATTCCACATCCCAATACTCTCTCCTAAAACACAAAATACTGGCCTCAAGATCCACTTGTTCTTAATTTCTACTCTGTCTCCACTTCATGAAAAGGGAGCTCAGACCAGACTGGTAGAAGGCACCCTCATTCTGCCATATTCATTCCACTTCTCTTTGCAAATACAGCAATACTTGAATTTGCAAATATAGCAATACTTGAAAACAATGCACTTTATTTCTTCTTTAATGGGAAGTACCAACTTCAGGATAAAAAAAAATTAATCTCCAAATCATGGAATTTCATTTAAATGAAGAAGAGGATAAGAAAAAAAATACATGAAAGACAAGACTTTTACTTTAGTTGCCATAATTTTAAAAACAAGGCCCCTTTTAAAATGAAGTATTTGTGACATCAGTTATAACCCATTGTTCATCCCATAACATTTCCAGCCATTAAGCTCTTCAAAAATATAATTGAAAAACAAGAAAGAAAGAAGCAAAAGACATACACAAAAAATAAAACATTTCCAGTCAGCAGCAATATGCCAGGTAATGATAGCAACTATAGTAGGAATAGTCTAGATTAGATTCTTCTTTTTGTGACTGTTTTATATAAAGAGCACTTCTGATTAAAGTACTTATTTATAACTTGTTTTGCTTTTTAAAAAATTTATGGTAGCAGTTAAATCAATGTATAAGTCATTCAATAAAACTGAACCTTTCATTTGGTTCTACTTAATGACTGGACACTCATTAAGAAAGTACAAGAATAAAATGGTTCAAAAATACATCAGAGAAAGTTTGCTAACAGTAAACTCTCTTCCAGCCAACCATTAGTTTTAATATGAAGTCAGAAAATTCAATTTCCAGAAATGGAGTGGCTAAGTTAGAATTCAGTTTATACAATTCATTTAGTCCACATTTCCCATGGCAAAATACTTTACCCTATTCTGAAAGTACAGATGAAGACAATGAATTAGATGCTCCCTTATCTACTCATTTCTCTTAGTACTAAAAAAGATCAAGGTGGGATGAGAGAGACCTGGTTCTACCAGCCCCATGTTTAGCAACACTTTCTGTATGCTTTTATCTTCCATACTTCCTGGAAATAAACTTCTCCCCTTCTCAGATTATACACAACCATGAAATGTATTTGAAACAAAGACAATGATACAAAAGATAGATACTTTATAGAAAACTCTGCTGAATGCAACAGAGTATAAATACACACAGAACCTTTCCTACTACTATACAATGGGGTAGTATCCCACGTTGAACAATTATTCTCACATCTAACCATCATTATCATATAACAGAAGAGCATATGATCCTTTTTCTTTTTTTTTGTAGGCCTAGACTTTATTAAGTAATAAATGTAATACTGAGCTTTACTTGGATAAATAATGAGTTATAGAGTAGACACCATCTCACATACCTAGCAAGCCCTTTATGATACTAGAATTCAGAGCTTTTATCGTATCTCAATCTATCCTCCTAATTCTGACACACCCACAAGTCAAAGCATGTTCCTTGATATACTCAAAAATCTCTGAGTTTGATGACTCATCTGAAATATTCGGTTGTTTCACCACAGTGGTGGTACCAGACCATCTCAATCAGACTAGACGTATACGGGAGCGAGCGAGGCATCTTGACATCTGCAGCCTTAGCAACTGCTGGAATCTTTCCAACAGGACCGCAGACCTGCCCAGCTGGATAAAAGTCTCATTAGGAAATGGCTGTGGCATATGAACTTGAGGAAGGAACATGGAGCGGGGTAGCAAAGACAGATGACGTGAGATGGAGTTAGGGTGAGAGAGAAAGGGAGGAGAACCAAGCAGCTGTTTGGCCTGGCATTACCATTATCAGGGCTGGTAAACATCCGACTCGCACTGGAGACTGTCTTCCCAATGTCAGCCAGGGACCGAAGGTTAGATTTCTTGGTTTGATGCCGGTGCCTCCGGAGCAAAGTGTAGGTCACCTTATCCTTAAGGTCAGGTTTCAAAAGGCCTGTCTCAATCTGATGGTCAACAATCATCTCTGATACAAAAACAAAGCAAAACAAAAACAAAAAGCAAAAGTCAGCCACAAGATCATAAAGTTAAACTTTTTACCTCAACTTTACAGATATTATCCTCAAACTTACGATCAACACAGTATTTCCCAAATTTCCACCTTCCATCTTTGTATGGGGGTAAAGATACGGGACACAGAGATTCTGGTGTTAATGAGAAAGTTATAAATACTCCACTACAAATTTTATGTTTGGAGAGGAAGAATCATCTTGTCCTTTTTTTCAATTGCAGCTAATAGTGAATTCACATTAATCACATTCTTCTATGAGTAACACAGTAAGTCAGTAATTTACATTTTCTCAATTAAGCAAAAAAAAGAAAGATTAAAAAATTTCATGTACTCTCTCATAGCAAATGTGCCAGAAATATAAATGATAAAAGAAAAACTTGAAAAGAATATGCAAAATTTAATGTAGTGACAATACTGATTTTTTAGATCTAGTTTCCCAAATTCTTCTGTAATGATGTATTTTCCTTAAAACAAAACAAAGGAAAAGAAAAGAATACTGTTCCCCATATCAGGTTATTTGAACACCAATTAATCCAATGAAAGACTAAACTACAAAACTATGCCTTCATCTTTTCTAAAAAGGGAGGCTGTTCTTGTTTGGATCCAACAAAAGCCTTTTCAATATATTCCATTAATCATTTTAAAAATAAACTCACCAGAATTTAATATAAAATTTTAGTCTTACCACAAAAAAGTTATAATTTCTATTCGTTCTTGTTTTTAGAACGGCTTTAATTGGAAAAGATAACCGTGTTTCATAGAAATTGCTCCATGGGTGGCTCTGCTGAAGGACACGTTTTACTCTAAAAGAAGAAATCCTCTTTCTCACAAGTCGGCATGTCGACAGGATGGCAGAAATGTAGCCTGGCACATCCTTCTCTAATGTCACACGACAGGTTGACATTTCCTCTGTCCGGAACAGGGTTCAGGCAGAATCATCACAGAACCCACACAAGATATGCAATGACAGGACATTACCTCGCCACTGTACGCAGGTGGCGTGTAGCTCTCATCCCCGGCACAGAACCAGAGCAATGAGCAGATTCCATGCCTACCTTTTCAGGTACATGAGTGCATCTAGCACACCTCAAAACTCTCTTCCTGGCAAAGTTCCCAGTATACAGAAGTGGAGATGAGAGGGGCATCTGCTCAGGTGTTAAGGTTCCAACTCTTGATTTCAGCTCAGGTCATGATCTCAGGGTCCTGGGACCAAGCCCTGTGTCAGGCTCCGTGCTCAGCATGGCACCTGCTTGAGATTCTTACCCTCTCCAGCTGCCTTCCCCGCTCCCCTCTCATGCTCTCTCTCTCAAGTAAATAAATCTTTTTTTAAAAAGGGGAGATAAGAACAAAAGCTTCTCTTATAAAGTCTGATGAAAAAAGTGATGGGAGCTGGCAGGATAACAACATCTCCTATGAGAAGTTAGAGATGTTCCAGGGGCTCCGCTGGGGCAGACCTGTATCTCGCAGAAGCCCATCTTAATAGGAAGCCCCCGAAGAAATGGCCTGACAGCCTACAGCTAGACACGGACGACGTCCATGGTACACAGTCAGCTACTTGGCAACCAAGCAGAGGCTGCATCCAGGATTTTCCGTCACACATCTTACACAGAGGCCATAAATGTCACCTAACACTGGGCCACTTGGTGGGAAGCTTGGGCAAGGCAGGGAGTTTCTCCCATAGGAATGTTTTGGTTTGAGAGTGGCCTTTAACTCTGAGTGTGTTTAACTGCACAAACCCTTCTCAGTGAAACTCTTAGAACTGATCCTATAATTACAGCTAACCCTCTGCTCCACAGTAAAATAATTAGGTGCTACTCCTCTCCTTTCCCTTGAAGTCTTGTTCAGTGTGGAAGTCCATTTCACGGAAGAGCCATAAAAATAAACAAACAGCCCCAGCATATCTGCGGCACAAGTTATCAAGCTCCTGCTCTAATTCCAGGGTTGTGGATCAAAGTGCTCCTTATCTAGCCTTCCTGGCAGGGCCTCCCACTATGCTTGCCCTCCCTTGTAATCTCAAGCCTACCCGTGCAAAGGCACAGCCGGCCCTCTGGTACTAATGCCTGGAAATCACCAGTTAGAACAGGTTGACATCTGTGTGGCTCACGCCCTTCATTAAGTTTCCATAAAACGGCCCACATTACAGCGATCTTTTTAAGCACAAACTATAAAACCTTTCAAGGAAAGTGGGGGCAGTAACATTTCACAGTTACACTGAAATTAAGCCTTCAGTGTTCAAAATCCCACAAACACTACCAATTGTGAGAACATGCCAACTGTGTATGAGAGCAGAGCCGGAAGAAACCTTAGGAAACACCAAGTTTGCAACCTCTTGTGCAGATGGGAAGAGAGAGGGCGAGAAAGGCACAACCCCCCAAGTAGAACCCCATTTTCTGACTCACAGTTTACATCTTTTTCCATATCACAAAGTGTTTTTCTTTATTGAAAAAAGCTCTAAACTAAAAAAAAAAAAAAAAAAAAAAAAAAAAAAAAAAAAAAATTTAATATATCCAGAGCTTCTACAAGCCAACAAAATGGTGTTCATGCAACCAAAAAATGGCCCGAAGTGACAAACATTTTGGAAATACAAGGCCCAAGAAAGATTAAACTTCAGGACTAACAAAGGCAATTTTTAAAAAATTATATAAATATCACCAATTATGAGATTTTATAAATCTATCAAAGTAGCAAAAGGAAAACAAGCAATCCACAGTGATGTGAAGGGGGGGGGTGTCATAGGGAACCACATGTGACAAGAGCAGTAATAACTAGCATAACGTTTCTTGAGGGCCACTTAGCAAATCATGTAAACAAAACCCTTTAATATGTTCAAACTCTCTGGATATTTCAGCATTAGAAATCTACACTAAAAAAAATACGCAACTTCACCAAAGCTCAACAAAAATGTTCACTTCTATTCTTTTTTTTTTAATTAACATATAATGTATTATTTGCCTCAGGGGTACAGGTCTGTGAACCATCAGACTCACACATTTCACAGCACTCACCATAGCACATACCCTCCCCAATGTCCATAACCCAGCCATCCTATCCCTCCCTCCTTACTCCCCAGCAACCCTCAGTTTGTTTTGTGAGATTAAGAGTGTCTTACGGTATTCTTTAAAATAAAAACTTGAAGACAACTTAAATGCCCAATACTAAATATTTTGCAGATATCAAAATGATGTTTACATTTGTATTTAATCACATGGAAAGAAATTCATCTTAAGTTTTTAAGTTAAAAATGTCAAATTAAAGTGTTATAGTATGATCCCATTTATAAAATAAATTTCGTATGTGTAAACAGTGATGTACAGAAAAACTGCCAGAATGTAGCTGGGAATGATGGTATTTTTGATTTTTGTGTGTTCTATTTTTCTGGATTATTTAAAAATGAACATGTATTAGTTTTGTGATAAAAAATAAATACATTGCCATTTTGAAAATATAAAAGGTGTTAAAAGCAAGAAACAACATGACTAACACATCTGCCAACATGCACAGTTAAGGAATACCTTTAAATATAAAAATGAGAACTCCAAAAATAGAGCTACATTTTCCCAATCCATTTCCCATCATAATAAAATACCTGAAATGGCCTATCATTTTTTTAACTAAGGAGGCCGGGAAAATTCGCACGTACTTGCCTTCTTATGTGAATGACACTCTTTAATTGTAGGGTTATAATGATGATAGTAATAATCAAGCTATTAAAATAATCCATGAAAATGTTGTTTTATCTTTTAATCACTTTAAAAACAAATTTTTTAGTAGCCTTCAAAAGGGGTTCTTCATGAAGAAAACAAGGAGATGTCCTGAGGAGAGTCAGAAGGAGGTGGTAGGTAAGGACGAGCGGCACACCTGCTTCAACAGTCACGTGGGGACGGCTCTGCACCTGCAGAGCAAGGCTGCCTCTCGGGCCCTGAGAAGGAGTAGCAGGTGGAATGCAACGCAAGAGAAAAACCATGCTCCTGTTTGTTTGTATAATCATCACACCCACTATTATTTTTTTTTTCTTCTCTTTTGTGGAGGTAAAAATGGGATGGAGGGGGAGGTGCACCTTAGAGATTCTCAACTCCCAAATTATCAGCACGATACCAAACAAAACAACCACTTCAGCCTCTGCTAGAAAAGGATTTTTTAATAACCAAATAAATAATGACAATAATTATTTTTTCTATCATTTAAAATGAAATTAGGGGTTTTTTTTTTCCTCCAGGTGTTTTAACCCTCTACAAGGCTTTGATTCTTTGAGGATTATTAAATATTTTTTTCAGACAATTACATTCTTTCAAACATGTTCTCTCCACTCCTGCAAGTCTGATCCCTCCCACCCTCCCTCCCTCCCTTCCTTCCTTCCTTCTGCTTCTAATGTGTGTTATTTGCCTCTGAATTGTTTTTCTGTATTATCAGATCCAGAATGAGAGTGATGGTACTTCAAAGGGACCTGGTGGTATCTGATTTTTAAATATAATGCCAATTTTTAAAAGTAAAGAGACAGTGCTTAGAGGAAAAGTCCACAACTGGTAATACAAAGCAGTGAAAAATGAAAGCAACAACTTAACATGCTTAATGAACCTTTCTTAAACCTAGTGACCAGAACCTCTTTCTTTGGCCATTGGCTGACAAGGCTCCAGTACAATGTGGGATTCTCTCTTGTAGCGCATGGAAAAGGTCAGTCAATTGCTGATGAGCAGAAGCTCCTTCAGAGGGCTCTTGCTGGTACTAAAGACCCAAAAGGCAGTTGTACAGAAAAGCCCAAGTCCTCCTTTCTTATATTGGGACCTTTCTAGTGACCCTTAAACTACAATACACATTCTCTCCTGAGATTGCCTACATGTTGCCCACTCACAAGTTTAATTTCCATTTTACCCAGCATTCACGAATACCGACTCATTTCTTCGACTTGTCTAATTTCAGACATCTCTGCTCCAGATTAGTTCTTAAAGTCTAAACACACACAAATTGCAATTCTCACTCAAAAAAACTGGATGGATTTTTGCTAACCATGATATTATTTTTGAGTAACAATCTCCCCTGAAGTAAGATAAATCACTCAGAAAACCATCCCTTCTGTCTGCTTCTGTCTTTGTGGATGGGCTCATCCTCCCTGGGCACAAGAATATGTCCAAATATCCATTTTCAGCCTCACTTGCCTTGTCAAACATGAAAAACTCTACATAGAGATTATTCCCTACATTATCTTCTAACTATGTGGATGCGGCTTGTGCACTTACCCCATTTACAAAGTGACAGATTTGCAAACCTAATTCCAGGGCCCAGAACAACGTCTGGCACATTGCAGAAGCTCTTGCACCACTGCTGAATCCGTGTATGAACTAATTAATTCTGTCCACCGAGTTTCCTCCCATTAGCCCTTTCATCTTCTGCACTTGTATCTTAAGCAGCTCAGGTTCATGAAAAGTGTGGGACTTCTTTGCAAATGGAACTAACAAGCTCTCTGAACAAGAATCAGATGCATATACATCAGAAAGATACATGCCTCGTTTGACAAGTAATCTTTTCCTCCAATACAAATGCTATCGCTTTCTCACTGTAAAACACATACACACACACACACACACACACACACGTGGAAACGTCATAGGCAAGCCTTTTGGCTACAGATATCCAAAGAAATTTTGTAGTAAGTCTGAAATCACACAAGAATTTTACACTGGCCACTTTCTAGGGGGCCACAATCCACAACCTGTTCCCCATAATCCCAAAGGAGGTACCCTGCAGATGAAAGTGTAGTCATCCATGTAAGTCCAGTGGTCATCTAGCTAATAAATTTTCCTAGGAATGCCAAACAGAGCCTCTGCACCTCTTTTTGAGAAAAACCTGATCTCTACACCTGGATCTAAAGGATGATAAGGCAGATTAGGCCAGGCTTTCATCAGAAAATGAAAACAATGACTACTGTTTGGGAGGTAGTAACGTATGCCCCAGATGCTCAACGTGGTGAGTTAACATTCACTACACGACACTAATTGCAAATGGTACCAATGCAGCCCTGCACCATGAGGTTCAGGGACTCGGTGGTGGTTATATAACTGACACTCAGCACCAATGTGACATGACTGAGTCACCAACCCATAAGGTTCTGCTGGCTCCTTGCCCCACACAACCTTTCTTCCGTACAGTTAAAGGATTCTGACTTCCACCTACAAAGGCAGCCCCAACCCAGCAATTAGACGATTTCCCTTCTTACACAGGATTGAAGCCCTATTTTACAGATGATAAAACTGAGGCCCGGAGAAGCTCAGTGCAATGTCCAAGGTCGGAATCCTCAAAATCTAGTCTTCAGTCCCCCATTCAATGTAACCAAGGATGGGCGAAGAAGCCTCTACTCAAAATATTGACCTTATCCTAATAAGTTTAGGATGTGAATGCAAATCTGGACATATACATTATGATCCCCAATAAAAATAACATGAGAAATTAAAAGCAAGAGAGAGAAGACCGAAAAACAAAAACTGGATGGAAACATGTCAAAATGTTAACAATGGCTACAGAGGTATGATGGATGATTTTTTTCATTTTCTTCTCGATATTTGTCTGTATTTTCCAAATCCTCTGCAATAAACCTTACTTGTCTTATAATATAAAAAAGAGCAAAAATAAGTGTTATAGGATATTCAACTCTGCTTACACTAGAAGCCATTGGCATGAATGGAGATAGTTCATCTACCATAGATAGTTAGGTAAAGCTAAAAAAAAATGATAAAAACTTAAAACAACATACTTACCCACCAACTGTGGGAGAGAAGACGCCTCTCTGTCAAGCATGATAGATCCTTTCTCCATACATGTCCTCAGCTCAAATAAGCTGTGAAGGGACAATGTGGCCACATGGGGCTTGCTCCATCTTTCCCCACCCTGTTCCACTTTTTCTTCAAACTTAATCCACCTAGGAACATGAGATTAATGAACAGCAATTAAAAGTACTCCAACCTCCTCTAGAAATAGCTACATCAACCCCTCCATCTCCACCCCCACCCGCAAGCACTTCCAAAACGTCTCCTTTTGTGAAGTCTTAAAAGCTTATTATAACACTAATTGCATTACCTTTATAAATACACCAAACAGAGTCACTAGACTCTCCTTCCCCTGGTATTAGAGAGAAAGAAAGTAAACCAAAAGGATCCGAAGCATCCTTGGTTTTATATCTGTCTATATGTAACCATGAAATCCCGAAGATGATTATTTTGCTAAATTTTTTAAAATAACATGGGAAAAATGTACATTTTAAAATTCTCCATGAAACCCCACACTGTGTAAAAATAACCACCATTGTGAGAATTCTGTTGTGACTTCACAAGACAAGTTTATGTAAGTTGAAATATCAGTTACAAACCAATATTTATCTTAATTATTTGAAAAACCTGGTGTATGACATGGTCAGATTAATGTAAAATTCCCCTTTAACGCTTAAAGAGGTCCAGCACTTGCAGCTATGTCTTACTCTCTACTTCCCAGCTGACACATGTTCCCTTCTCACTGAGATTCTAATGGAAACTTTACCCTTCAAGTCTGGCTCCACATGTGTTTAAACATACACAAGTTCAATGAACAACACATCTATCCGATAATAGAACTCCTATTAATCTTAGCAATGGAACAAATAGCCCACTTTCATAGTTTTTTTTCTTTCTAAGATTCCTAGATGTTTCAATAACTTTGCAATATAGAGCATTTTTTAAAAGTTTAATGGAAATGAAAACAAAACACATTTGACAGCCTTTATATCTCACTTGTTGAGATACTTTCTACACTGCTCAAGGAAAACACGAATGCATCATCATTTTGCTATTCATTGTGACCCAAAGAAAAACGCTTCTTTCTCTCCCTTCAAACCGTCTCAGAGATATTGAAAAAGATGCAGAGGGGGTTAAAAAATTGTTTTCCTACGTTCTTCACCCAAAGGTTTAATGATTTAAAAATGTTTTCCTAGAAAAAGCTAAACGCTCACCTAGCTCACTAAAGATGAGAGCAAAGGGCAGAGATCAGAGGAAGCTCTACATAAGGTATTATTTATAGACTGCTCACCACCCACAGAGGAGGCAAAAAAAAAAAAAAAATAGAACCAGGAGTGAAAACAGATCAAGAGATTAGCCATAGAGTCAAAGAAAATTCAGAATTTTAATGAAGCTCAATATTCTTGTGACTATTTAGCCATATCCAAAGCCTCTGCCTGCACTCCTCACAGGAAGCCTCTTCTAGCCAGGGCATTCCCACATGTCAGTGATCCCCTTATCTCCAAACTCACCCTCAACTCCCAGACCCTCTTCCTTTCCTCTGTATCCCCCTAAAAGGTAAACAATGGAGATTTTTACATATTCTCCTCACAAGTTAAAAAGCCCACATCACCACCAGAGTTGTAAAACTTCAGAACTGGACCTTGTTTCTTTCTATAAAAGTAGAAACATCCCAAAAGAGAATAAAAAGACCCTTAATATTCATATGATTGTGTGTGTAATTAAATTAGTAGTTCTTCACTTTGGCTGTTATTAGTCCCCCAGAAATAGAAAGGGGAGAAAAATGACAATTTTATGTCATACTCTTAGGGAATTCTATGGATTTGCCAAAAAAAGATAAAAGGTAATTGGAGTTATTTCAAGAGTAATCATTTTACAGCGTTGATTTCACTGATTAACTTCAGGTATATCATCTTTTCACGCTTGCTCACACAATCTTAAACCATGTTTGCTGATAACTATTACATACATTATAATCACTTTTTTCTTTTAAAGAATTTTGGAGGGGGGCTTGGGGGCTGGGTGAAATGGGTGATGGGATTAAGGAGGGCACTTGTGATGAGCACCAGCTGTTGTAGGAAGTCTTGAATCACTATACTGCACACCTGAAACTAATACAACACTGTATGTTGACTAACTGGAATTAAAATAAAAGCTTAAAGTAAAATAAAATAAATTTGAAGAGTATTTTTACTGAAGTAAGTAATTGACATAAAATAACCTACTAGTTTCAGGTATACATCATAGTGAATCATATTTATACTTGATGTTATAATTTATTACTCAAGATAAGACTCTAGTATATTAAAATATTCTACAGTACATAAAACCATGTCAGGATTACATATAAGGATGTTATCTATAAAGAGTCTAGTGACTCCTTGTTTTTATTCCTGAGAGAATTCTTAATAGCTGAGGGATAGAATCTTAGGTCATAGGATTCAAACCCAAGATAAATAATAAAAACCAGCTAGAAAGTCAGTAAAGGGAGTATTTTACACAGCTTTCACTTCCCCCTTATTTCTACTGAATGAGTCCCCCCTTCCTGTCAGTTGCCATAAATCTGCATCGCCAGATACATACATATGTGACAGTGGCTCTTTTCTGCCATCATTCTCAACTGTCCAAACTATGTAAGTTTAATAAAATTTTCTTTAAAAAAAAAAAAAAAAGGGTGGGGGTAGTGATGTACTATATATTGGTCTAATTGAATTTAAATAAATAAGAATGGGTAGGGCACCCTGGTGGCTCAGTTGGTTAAGCCTCCAACTCTTGGTTTCAGCTCAGGTCATGATCTCAAGGTCATGAGATTGAGCCCTGTGTCGCTGCTCTCAGTGGGGAGTCTGCTTCTCTCCCTCTCCCTCTGCCCCTCCCCCAACTTGTGTTTGCTCTCTCTCTCTCTCTCAAATAAATAAATCTTTAAAAAGACAAAAAGGAGCAAAATGACTTCATTCTCTTATGACCAATCATTAGTTTCATTCCTCCCCACAGTTTGCACTGTAGGCAACCTGACTAGACTTAAATATGACTTTAAACAGGTTTTAACAGTACGTTTAGAAATCATAAATCCCAATCAGCTTGGATTTATGGAATAGCATTACTCACCCTCCTGGAATATACCAGCCCTTTAGGTCAAGATTTAATCATAAAGGAATGCAAATGTAAAATCTCAAAACTAGCCAGGTTCTTAGAATCTACATTCCTAAGGGATAAGCATTATCTCATAGTTCAGTTTAGCATCTATTTCACTTTGAGGTTAGTAAATATTGAATGTTGTGATGATGTCATATCATAGCACAGCTAACAACATAAGGGAACGTCTGGGATAATGGCTATTAAATTCCTTTAAAATGCATTGCTCTGATTTCAAGGAACAGAGTATACTTCCAACATATGCTTTCAGACATAAAGTAATGGTTTGCCCATTTAAGCAGATTGTTTGCATGCAGTTTCATTCCAGAAACTATACATGCTATGTCTATCCTCCTCACATATCAAGGACAAATTTGAAAAAAACCTGAAAACTACTCAATTCAAATCAGAACCCATTAAAGAAAAGGCTAAGGCAAAGGTACCAAAGTTCAGCCTACCCGAGTGCCAACAAATTTGTTAAGGTGCCTTAGAACCATGTAATTACATTAAAAAAAAAAAAAAAAACAGACATTTTTACTGTGAAATGTACTATAAGCTACTTTCTACCCTTCATGGTGACTGTGAATAACAATATAATTGCAATAAGTTTCCTACTTTTCCTTTTGTTTTGGAACTTGACATGTTATAGGAAAATTAATTTCAGAAGTTAGCTTTTTAAATGCTTGCAAATACAAAACTGTTGTAACCTTGGAGGAAGAGTTTATTAGGTAAAGTTTATTTCAAGGTCTTAGAAGAAGAAGAAAGTACACTGCAGTTTAATGCCCCCTGAGTGACTGCCAACCAAACAGCATTTCACTCGTTTATTGAAGAAATAGAAGGCCCACTGGGAGTCACTGAATTTTGCAACTTTCCAATCATATGATTAAATATAATTAAGAAAAGACAAGACCTCTAACTGAAAAACAAGCCAATTTTACAGTGGAAAATAGACATGACCTTTGCCCTAGAATATAATCCAACTATATAAGACTATTAAAATAATAAATTTCTTGCTAACTAATAAGTGCCTCATTACATAAAATAAGCCAATGCTAGTATGTATCTGGGATAAATTATGTTTTTAAGAAAAACTCAAATTTCTAGATCAACTGTGAAATTTACTGCAAAGCAGTATATGTGACTCCTATAATTACATAGATGATTAGACTCCTTTTCCTTCAGCCTTTTTCTTACAGAAGAAATAAACTTGTTCTGAAATGGAATGTTCCAAAGTAATCCAGTAGAGAAAGACAGAGAAGTCGGTGGAGACTGGGAAAAGAGCAATCTCTCTCCGAATTCCCAGGGTAAGCACTCATGTCTGTGCTTGGAGGTCATGCCCTGGAATCAGGTTTTCCAGAAGCAGGCTGGGTCATTCTGCCAAGCAGAAACACAAATGGGTGTTCATTTGTGCTGTCCCACTGGAACTAAAACATCAATACCCTTTTCCTTTGCTGGCCGGTTGTTGTATTGAAACTTGTGACAATTTTCCTTTTTACCCAGGTTTGGCAACAAAAACTAAACCACATTGGGGGACTGACCTTTAACATATATTCTTCTAACAGTGAAGTCCAACATTACTCATCTATTATTCACTGAAGGAAAACTGAAAGCCAATAGTCATTTTTACAGAGACTTCACTGTCTCAAAGAAATAAAGAGCTTGGGGTGGGGGGGCGGGTATAGCAGTAGCCCTTCTTCTTGGCTTTGGGCCAACAACAAAGCTGGACCATGACTTACCCTTTTACCAGTTCATGTCATAAACCTATTAGCTAATGCCTTGCCACCTAGAAATTCTTAACAAGGAGGACAAAGCTTCCTCACTAATACCAATTACTCCCTTATAGTTACTGCTACGTTACTAAATGTCAGCATTCAAATAGCCTAACACTCAGGAATACTCTTAAAAAAAAAAGGGGGGGGTATTCTCTGCATTCCACTGATCAAATACTCTACTCAGGTCTAATCATTCTCTCCTTTGCACAGTCTTCAATTTGTGCTTTATGCTGGAAGAGCCAATAAAAATCCAAAGTTCTAATTTGTAGGAAAGGGAAAAGCAAGGGAAAGATGTGAAAAAAAAGGGGTGGTAGAGTTGGCTGAACTTCAGACTTCATATAAATAAAGACTTCCCTTGTTCATAGTTTTACATGACTACTGTGCCTTCCAGGACTTAAATCAGGATATTTTTCTTACTATTGAAACCATTCTATTTATTTTTTGAGACATAGAGCTTAACCTGAACTTCATGACTAGAAATGAAACTACAGTAATGCTGGGAACCAAAGGAGGATATTTTTGGTCAAATCAAATCATCTGCTACCTAAAAAGTACAGAGCATTAAAAGGGGTAGTACTGTGTTCTGTGGGGGTGTGGGCTCCCAGTATATATCACATTAAGCTAGAGAAGGCTAGTGGGTTAGTTCTCTATGGAATAAAATTCTATGAATTTGGGTTTTCACAGAAAAGCAAAGATCTCAATTTTATCTCAAACAGAAAAATAGTCATAGCACATTTTCATATAAAAATGAATCCCTTCTTAGTACTAAACTTTTATTAGTCTGATAGGTTTGAGAGTTTTTAATGGTGGTGGTGGGGGGGACCCTATCATCTCTGGAAACCAGACATCATAAATGGCAATCAGACATCACTGCAAAAACATCCTGAAATGGGGTATGTTGTAGGGAGCTAGAGATTAGTAAAACTCTGAGTCACTTCTGGAGGCACAATCACCTTCCAACCTTCCAACAGGATTTAGGTGAAGCTAATTTCTCGACCATGGACAGTGTGCCAGGTAGTTAGAGGCAATAGAGATATAACAATGAACAAAACAACTAAAAGTCCCTGCTCTCATGGAGTTTTAATTTTACTGGGAAGAGAAAATAACAAGATATGCACTATGCTAAATGGTGATAAGCGCCAAGGAAAACACAATGGAAGATGGAGGTTAGAGAGTTTTGAGGGACTTTTCTGACTTTAGATGCAACAGTCACTGAGAAAGTAATATTTGAAAAAAGACTGAAGAAGGTGAGAAAATGAGCCATGCAGATAATTGGGGGGCAGAGTGGGGGAGAGCATTTCAGACAGAGGGAGCAGCAAGTGCAATGTCCCTGGCACAGGAGCATGACCGGCCCGTGAGTGAACAAGGGGGAGAAAAGCAGGAGATAAGGTCAAAGAGATCCTGGTGGATTGTTCATGAGGGACGTACGTGCAGATGCAGAGAGATGAATTAGGAAGCTTTTGCAATAATCTGACAGCTTGGACCTGAATTGTGGCGGTACTGAACGTGAGATGGGATGAGATTCTGAATATCTGAATATTTTTGAGGGTAAAACAAATAGGATTTACCAATGGGATTGAGTAAGGGGTATAGGGAAAGACAGAAGTCAAGGAAAACCCCAGTGTTTCTGGCTTGAGCAACTAGAAGAATGGAGGTGAGTTGTTCATTGTGGTGGGAACACTGCAGGAGGAGAGGACCTGAGGCAGGTAGATAAGAAGCTCAATTTTAGACACGTTATTTTGAGAATTGTATTAGCCATCCAATTATGTGTTTTCAATCATATAAGGAAAGAAGCCTAGCAAGACAATGAACTGCTGTTGATAGCATACCATATACCTATAGATATATAGCTGATAGCATATCACAGCAATAGACAGCATATTGATTAATTAGTTTGAAACTTCAAACACAGGTCCTCTTCTGAGCTTTATCCATGGTGCACTAGGTACCTTGGGTCTGCATTCAGCTGTCCATCAGTCAGAAAAAGAAGAATTATCTTTTTCTGTAAACTATAAGTTTACAGAAAACTAAAGTTTTCTATAAACTTCAGCTTTGGTCAAGGAAAGTATCTAAGAAAAAGTATGATATTTAGAGCAGCTGTTTCTAAGGCAATCAATTCTCAACTAATCACACTCAACAAATATTACTGAGCACCTATTATGGGCACTGGGACCACAGTTATGAAAGACAGACATGATGGTCCCTGCTTTCAGATGAATTATTGTAATGCAGGAGACAAAATGAAAATAGTAATATCACATTTACATTGAATGAAGCAGTAGTAACTGTGGCAAGTCCTATACAGAAGTTATAGAGTATAGCCTGGTGTGAGCATGTTTCTCCCAGACAGCCTCCCCTCTCCCACTGCCAAGACATGGCGTACTCCCACCACACATTCTCTCCAACAATTCAGTATCTCAAGGACTAACAACATCACCGAAAATGACACATGTGTTCTCAAGGAAATAAAGTCTTTAAGGATGGTAAAGTATTCAAAATTATCTTCATCGTAAGAAGCTTACATGAAAGTTCTAGTCCATCTCACTCAGTGTTTAATTACCTACACAGTGAACTGTCACTTCTCTACCTTTCGGAGAGCAGAGGTCATATGAAATATAGTCCACCTTGGACTGAAAGAAAAAGCAGAAAGCTATATTTGAATTCTACTCTATGAGAGGTACTTGCACAGAATTTCAAGAAGAAAATATGAATCAAAGTAGCACTTCCAGTCACCACCAACTGAACTAGTACACACAGAGGGATGGAACTTTATTTTTGTTTTTAAAGATTTATTTATTTGACAGAAGAGATCACAAGTAGGCAGAGAGGCAGGCAGAGAGAGGAGGGGAAGCAGGCTCCCTGCTGAGCAGAGAGCCCGATGTGGGGCTCGATCCCAGGATCCTGAGGTCATGACCTGAGCCGAAGGCAGAGGCTTAACCCACTGAGCCACCCAGGAGCCCCAGAGGGATGGAACTTTAAAGCTATAAACTACACATGAAGTTATGGAGACACGAGGCAGTATCACCTTCACGGGGCAGAAGAGAACATGCATCTCAGGGAGATGGGTGAGGGCATGAGAGGCCCACAGCGAAGCGGCCAGTCAGCAGCAAAGCCAAGACTAGACCAAATGGCATGGAGTATGTAACTCAATCCATGTGAAGAAAGAAAGAAAAGCTCTGTTATCATGAGATGAATGAAACCTTCGATATTCCCACAGTGCTTAGCAATTTACACGATATCTCCACAAATATACACACATATAGGCATGTATATAAATACCTGATATAATTGGACAAATACTAAGTCATACATCAATATATATTGCATACCTTGGATTTCATACATATATGTGTAGTAGGTATTATTACCCACTTTTTATTGATGAAATCACGAGTCCTGAGACACTGAGTGCTATGCAGCAAACAGGGGCCAGAATCTGAAATTGAACTCAGGTTTCTAAACACCAAATTCATCTGAAACTTCTACTTGTTTTTGCATACACTTAAAAGAGGATCGGTTTTTCCTTGGAAATAACGGCAAGTTTGTGGGTAAACCCTGTCTTTGCAACCGCCCTCCTAAGTGGGAATGGGTAACAAATCAGATGTGATTCCACAAGACACCCCGGCAGGTGGAGACCGCAGGCACATACTTCTAGGCGATCATGTTTGGGTGCCTGCGTTTATCTCTTCCAGATATTTTACTGCTAAAGGGCATAGGAATCGATTTACTTCTAATTCTTCATAAAGGTTCAAGCTGTAACAGCGTGAGTCAGCGTTAACCCTGCTCCAACAGCGAAACAAAGGGTGTCCTGCATCCATATCAACACAACAGAGAAGAAAAAGAATCCTTGTACTCCTTCCCCCAGCCAACATGATGCTCCTCAGTTCCTCAAAGCCTGGCGGTGAGGGCAAGGCGCTCACAGACAGCCATCGTGCCCTGCACTCGCTCCCCCGGGTTAGGACCGCTCGGCCAGCCGTGCCTCACCTCGCCGTCTCCTTCCACTCCATCTCCTGCCCGTCCACGGCCAGCAGCTCATCGAGTTCGGTGAAGAGCTGAGGCGGCGCGGGGCTGTCATCCTCCTCGCCCAGGATGAACCGGATGCGCTCGGCGGCAGGAGAGACTGCAGAAGTGAAAATACTGCGGTTAAACACGGGCTGCACCACCCTGAGGAAGGGGTAGCTTCGAGCTCGCCCTCTGTCCCCGAGGCTGTTGGCCTTCCCTGCCACGTTCTCTGCGGACATCCTCCTCGCTGAGCCTCCCTTATCTCCAACCCACACGCGAAAAAACCCAAAGCCCTTTCTCTGTTCCTTCAGGCCTAAACCGCGTCTCAGCTCGCCACCACTCTCCGGGACAGGGCTCCAGGTCGGGGTGGCTTGTGACAAAGAACCTTCAGCCCTCAGAGGAGCTGAGGTCCAACCGAACGACCTTCCCTCCTTGCTCACTTAGGACCCATCCCAAATTATTAGACAGAAACCAGCCTGAGCCAACCACTTTTTCCACAGCAGTGGGAGGGGCAACAGAGCACCCCAATCCCGAGTTCCCCCAGGCCCTCGCCTCCCACCCGCCTTCCCTCTGTCCAATGCCTAAAGCTCACGTCCTCACAGGATCCTCGTTGCCTGTAACTGGCTAAGGGCAAAGTTGATGAAGGAATATTTAACAAGAGGGGGCCTCTTCTTTACATAAGGGCTGTACCCAAAAATGTTTAGTCACACCTCAATGCACTTGAAAAACAAGCCCAAGTAAAATATTGTACACCTGAGGAAAAATATTTTTTCTGACACACTCAAGCACATAATTGAATGCCCTACTAGCTCCTTTTGACCCTATCTCCTGAAAATCATGTAATGAAAAATTAACTAGAACTTCCCTCAGGTTGTGCGTTATTTTCCCCTTCCTCTTCTTTTTGTTGTTGTTGTTGTTGTTGTTGTTTAAGAAAAGGAAAGCATTTGGAAACTGATGATCATATTACAAAACTAAGGCCACAGATACTCTCTACAATCCCTGGGAAAACCGGGAATGGTATACACACGTGAATATAATCCAGGTACACCGATTTATGTGTCTGTGGGTGTTCATATATGTATGTATGTATGTATATACACATACACAAAAATACACACAAATTGTAAAAATATGTGTACTCAAATGACCTAATAAAACAAGAATATTCCTGGGGCACCTGGGTAGCTCAGTTGTTAAGCGTCTGCCTTTGGCTCAGGTCACAATCCAGGGTCCTGGAATCGAGCCCCGCATCAGGCTCCCTGTTCAAGAGGAAGCCTGTTTCTCCCTCTCCCACTCCCCTGCGTGTGTTCCTGCTCTATTGTGCTCTCTCTCTCTCGCTCTCTCTCTGTCCAGTAAATAAATAATCTTAAAAAAAAATTTTTTTAAAAACAAGAATATTCCTATCATCTGAAAACTACTATAATACAGGACAATATGAAATTCTACAGATCAAAAGATACTACAAACATGTGAAAAATATTCAACCTAACTAGTAATCAAAATTAATTATTAAAATAAAATACAACTTTTACCTAGGAAAATAGAAAATATGTAAAAAAAATCATAATCCCAATGTTGCCAGAGATTTAGGACACATGCACTAGTGCCTCTCAATTTACATCACTGAGAGAAGCCTAAATGGGAACCTCTCTCTGAAGGGAAATTTAGAAGGATATGGAAATGTTTTAAAAGTGTATATATCCTGTGAGCCAGTACTCCTACCACTAGAAAGACATTCATTTCAAAGAAATAATAGCTGTTACTTCAAAGATGGAGGTGACTACTGCAACACTGCTTATCACTGAGAAAAACAGAAGACGACTAAATATCTGAAAAGGAGGACTGGTTAAATATACTACACCACAACTATTCAGTAAATTAGCATGTAGTTATAAAACATGAAGTTGAGATGATCATTTCTGTAGTTATAAAACATGAAGTTGAGATTATCATTTCTGCAGTCAAATGCTCTACCACTGAGCTATACCCCCGAGATTATCATTTCTGACATATATACAATGCCAAAGGAAAAATAAAGTTGCAAAATCGTATGAATAAAGTAATCCCACCTTAGTAAAGAAAAAACACACATATATCCATAAAATTAAGTCTGGAATTGTGGGAAACCCTCACTATGCAGGGTTCCAAGGTGTGTGAATTTCAGTTACTGTCATTTAGTTAAAGAACAAGAGTCCCCCAATAATACAGTTTAAATTTCAGTGAGCATAGTATGTGAACTGTGGGTAATTGCATAAATTGCGAGCTTCACTGCTAGCTCTTCTGACGTTAATTACAATGTAAATAACAGACATGCTTCACGATCAGTGACTGATCATAATGGTTCTTCCAAAGTCTGTCAGTGATCGGCCACTGCGCATTTGTTACCCAAAAAAGAAGATGACCATGACGACGGAGAAGAAGCTGAGGAAGAAGAGGAAGAAAAGTAGGTGAAGGAGGAGGGAAAAAAAAGCATTTCACATTAAAGAAACTCTCAGAGACATTTCTTGACATGGAAAGCACAAAGGAGAAAATGCTAGAAGCTGATCCAAACTTAGGAGTACACAATTCATCAGGGCATAGAAAAGATGCTTGCTCCAATTCAAAAGCTGCACAACGGGAAGAAGGCAAGCATTATTCAAACCACTCCTGACAAGACTTTACAAAGAAATAAAACACTTTAATCTCAATATTTCTGACATTTTAAATTAGGGTGTACTAAATATTAGTTTTACTATTTTTTTTCATTTCTCTATACCTTTATCACTAATAGCGAGAGAAATTTTAATGATTTGGCAAAAATATTTTTAAAGTTCAAAGGAAAATATTTTCTCTTCTCCCACGGATTATTAGGATTGTTATGTATAATTTCAGTTTGAATAGTCACATTTACGGCTTTGCCCTACCATGCAAAGCAAAGATGGCCTATATGTACACCTTTTAACTGTTATACAGTTTATTTCTAGGGCTCTATGTTCTTCCTTTCACTTTTCGACCAGTTCTGCAGTGTTCACAGTTCATCCATACAATATTTATTGAGTACTGTCTTTGCACTAAATGGGCTTTGTTTCAGGTTCTGAAGATAAAGCAAAAAACTTGACACCAAGATCCTTGTTCTTATCAAGTATACATGCTAGAAAGGGCAACAAACATTAACCAGTCATTTGGTTAGTGAAGAATTAATTGGCTGAATGAATAAATTAGTAAATAGACCAACAAAAATATCTGCAAACGTTCTGTGTTCACAGGACATTCAAATAAGATAGCAATATCTATTAATATAGGATACAGTATGTTTAATTTCTGTAATTAGGGGGAAAAATGACTGAAACTTCTTAATATCTCTGGGAGGAAAAAACCTAAGTTCCAGAACTTTTGTGTAAGAACACTTGCAACGCCTTTCCAATCAAGAAAGGGAAAGTGCCGTAAACTAGCTTGATAACTCTAGCAAGTTTCTTTCCTCAGTTGCTCCCCTAAGCTTCCCTGGGAATTAGAAGTAAGAGGCCACAACAACTGTACTGTAAATATAGACCTGTGGGAGGGGCAGCCTCTGTAACCAGCAAATACCCTTCCCAATTTCTAACATGATTCTTAACACAAATACATGCAAAGTGGGAGTCTCCCTAATGAAGGATATCAGGAATTCTTTTTTTTCCCCCCCTGTAAATTTGGATCAAAAGGAAATGAGCTAAATTGAAGACACAGCACTGCATTGAAATTAAGCATATAGAACTCTGGAACCAAACTACTTTGGTTTGAATTCAAATTCTGCTACTTATATGCTCTGTGATCTGAGACAAGTTAATTAACCTCTCTGTGCCTCAAGTTCCTCACCTGAAAAATAGGGTGATGATGATCAATTATCATATCTAAAATACAAGGTTTAACTTAGTTTAAAAACTGCCAGCCCTTACTAGCAAAACCTGCCTAGCCTTTAAGAAAGAAAGTGCTCACAGATACTGGCCCTCAGAGCCCCTGAATGTTGAAAATACATAAGGTAGGAAAGAAAAAGCCAAAAGTTCTGCATATGTTACTTCAGTGAATTCAGCAGCTTTAGTAATGAGAACTTAAAGGTGTATCTTTCTGGGAAACAGCCAATAAAAGAACAGGGGGAAATAATGAAACCTCTTTAGTCTCACTTTAATACCTGGGGGAGAAAACATCAGAAAATCAACTTACATTGCAGATGAATAGAATATGATTGTAAGTAATAACTCACCTAGTTTCAGCATAACAGAGAACCTTGAGAAAAATGAGAAAGGGTGACAGGCAGGAAATGAGGGAGAGAGAGAAAAACTGTCAAATTAATCCAATCACCTTTGTCAGAACAGAAGGCCTATAGATCAAAGCCAAGTTAATACCTCTAATCTGCCTTGATTTTTTTTTCTTTTTTTATTCTGCCCTCTGGTTAGAATGTGTTTTGGGGGTTTTCAGGGGGCTTTGGGTTCCCCCCCCGAGTATCTACCGAATTTCCCAGAGGGCCCTACTAAGTGTGGTTATCTCTGACCAGCGTCCACCTACAGGGTGACAATGTCATAGTGTGCAATGGCTGGGGAGACCCAGTGCTCCCAAATTCCCAGTGCTGACAAGAAGGAAGGCAAATACGTGGCAGGAATGCTACCATACCCACTCCCCACGACCAGCAGCCATAGCTTACATCACACGCATTCCTGCCGAGACCGAACTTGACCTCAGAGTAGCCACTATCCACCAATCAGAGATGGCGTGGGAGAGGACCCCTCTCCAATGACACCTACCTGGGTAGACAGTCAACTCTCAGGGTGCCTGTCATGTCACTTTGACCCCTAATCTATGCATCCAAACTGTCTCCCACAAAAACCCAGAAATGTCTGGTGACCAAAGAACGTATCTGCTCAATTTTGCACCAAGCTCGGCCAGGAACCCCAGTGTCACAAGCAAGCTCAAAGGTGTTCACTGCTGTTGTCACAGTTCACCTGCTAAGCTCTGCCCTAGAACACGGGCATAGGCAGGAACAGACCCCCATCCAGGAAAGAATTCAGGTATTTCCCAAGAATGACGAGAAGGTAAATAGAATTTTGTGATTATGGGTAGGAAGACATGACTCTCTCTCTTCCCTAGAAGAACGGACTTTTAAAGGAC